CACATCTACAGCAGCTTTCCAGCAAGTGGTCAGGAGCAGACACCCCAGCGTAATGATTTATTGATTGTATTGCATTGCCCCAGAGTTAGTGAGACTTGGTGTTAAAGTGCTGTCACCATCCTAACTGAGACTAACCTAACACTGTACTGAGCAGACAACACATTCTGGACTTCACTGTAAATTACATTAGATGCTGAATTATACAGGACTTTTGGATATTGTCTAACTGACTCTGTCATCTGGTTGCTCATGTGTCTATGCATGCATAAGTCCTTTGTGTTCTTGGAAGTTATACATTTCACCTGCTTAGGAAGAAGCACATATACCTCAAAACAGATTTACCACCTAGAAAGTGCCAGTTGCGATAGCCACTGTTCTGTAATGATAGTATTAACACAAACCATGGCTAAAACACTGTGAGATTGTTGAGGCCAGACCAGGTAAGGTCTGCAGATTTTCATTCCCTAATGAACATTGGTCGACCAAATTTTTGTTTTAATGACAATATAATGTTCCCATGATCATTATGGAGAATAACCTTTTTATTCTCTATCTATTCATTGATTTAAATGCCCTCGTTGCCATGCCGCCATCTGAACTTGCTTCTCTGGAGCAATATTCTGGTGTTCCAGTATCAGTGTTACTATTCCTCTTCTGTGATCTAAATGGGAGGTACTTTAATGTCCTGAGTAGGTGAATTGGGTTGGGCCAAACAAATGTGTGCTCATTTGCACCTATCTTGTGACCAGTGGTTGTATTTGAATTCCTACAGACCACCTTCATTTCAAATCATCTTTTCCAAGAGTCCCTTAGATGCTTCTTGATTTCTCATGGAAGCAGATGATGTTGAAAATTGATCCACGTGGACCAGGGATGTATTTTGATTGAAAATTAGTATCACCTGGAAATCGATGCAGTGTTCAAGAGGAGACAGCTTCACTTTAGGTTCATTATTTCAACCCTTAATAGCTGGTCTTTGACAAAAGTTACAGTACTACCAAATCGGTGTTCACTGACGTGCAGCACCATTCTGAATAGATCTGTTCACAGCTAGATATTCAGTGTGAAGAGGATCCAGATTGGCTGTCTTCCACAGTTGTTAATTTGACTACATCCAAAAGTCTTGAATTACACCAAGACTGACACTCAGTGCCTTGAAACACCAACTTGAAATATCAGTAAGTGAAGAAGTTGTTGAACAAGACAGTTGTTTCAAACTCTGGTCTTCTCTATCTATCCAATTTGAAAATTTTGCAATGATATAGTTCTCTAGTTTTGTCTCTGTAAATACAATTAGGTTTAGTCAAGAGAATAAGGAGTCTCGGGATCCTTACACCTTCCTACCATTTGGAGTCGGCCCTCGGAACTGCATTGGGATGCGATTTGCTCAACTGGCAATGAAGATGGCACTCACTTCTGTCTTTCAACACACGACCATTGTGACTTGTAAAGAGACACCGGTGAGAATTTAATCATTTCGTTTCAGTGAATATTGAGGAATGGAAATAATAGAATGGACAGAAGCATCTCTGGCTGTAAATCAACTGTAATGGGTGATTTCAGCACACAGGTGACACAGATCATGAAGCAGGGGTTCATTATTCCACTGCCGTTGAATTTTTAAAGCTTTGTGAAATTAAGACTAAAAGAAAAGGCAGGGAAACAGAATTTACACTGAACTAAGCCTGTGGCTCACATCTTGGTTGCAGATCATTTTTGTTTCTCCCTTCCTCCACTTGACAAAGACACCCCTTCATTCAGACAGAAGGTCTCCAAGTACAGTATTATCAGACAAACACCCCTCCAAAGTTGCTTGGAGAGAAGGTACTATGTACCTACTTTGGCCAAATGTTAAGAACAAAGATCTGCTGCAGATTTGGGACCTGTACCCCATTTGCTTCAAGTTTCCATCATTTGTGTTGTGATTGAGATTTTTGTATTTAGATTGTTGAAATTTGTCAACATTCCACAAAGGTCTGGTTTTCCAACTGAGCTATCCCATGTCGTGTTCTTTGTTCTTCAATATTAACTTTGCTTTTTCTATTCCAGATTCCAGTAGAACTAGATGTGACAGGATTCATGCGGCCTAAAAAACCCATCGTCCTGAAATTTGTGCCACGGCTGAACGCTGATTGAAAGGAATAAACTACTTGGTCGATTCAGAGCTATGAAAATATATAGGACTATGTATGCATCAAGATAATCAAATGAAAGTGCATGGAAACTTAATTCAATTATAAATCTATAGAATCAGAAAAAACCATTAACATACATGTTAATTTTTTACTTCCTGCTGTGAAAACAGTGAGAGAGTCACTCATGTTTTACGAGGTGATTTATTCAATAGGAAAACATCTGTCAATTGACTAACATTTTTGTAATCTCAGGTATAGAAATAAATCATGTGATTGTAAAACTATTAGACTATCCATAATCATTTCAATTTAATATTTTTCATAAGAAATCCTTTAGATATTTGCTAATACTAATTGTAAGTAATATGGTAAGAATGTAAACAACACTGTACGACAAGGAGCTTGCAGGATTATTCTTTAGAAAAATCATGAAATGGGATAGCTGACTTGGAAAACAGATTGAAGAATATTAACAAATTCAACCACCATCTAAATAGAACAGGATCTCAATCATAATATAAATGAAGGAAACTTGAAACAAATGGGGGTAAAGGTTACAAATCTGTAGCAGGTCAGCAAACATCAGAGAGTTGTCACTTTCTCTTTGTTAAAGGGCATAAGTCAGAGAGAATGTGTATGTCCGAGTGAGTGAGTGTCAGACAGAGTGTATGTCAGAGGCCTGGGCAGGGTTGGATGGGACTGAGTTCAGCAAGCAGGTTGCTGAAGGATGACCTCTCAGCTCAAGGGAAGCCAGGTTTCACAACCTCAAATCAATGTTCACTATTTCTTGCAAAGAAAGAACACCATTATGAACATTTGTTCATAACTCTGTGAAGTGCTTAGTGTTAGCATACATGGTGAGTGTTTATAATTTCAAAAGGGGTCTGTGATTAAAAAACTTCTGCAAATCAATGCAGTACTGAATAATCCTAACTAATTACTGTATGTTCAATGCAGAAGATAACCATGCAACTGTTTTGTAAATTTTATGTAGGTTGTTCTAGACTATGCACTGAGCCAGGATTCATTCAAAACATATAAATTAGGAGGAGTAGGCTATATGTTGCTTGAGGCTACTCTGCCATTAACTAAGGTCGTTGCAGATTTGATTATTCTCCATTCCAGCCTGGCACTAATAAGGGGGTGAAAAGTTATCAAGAATATTTAAAGGCTGCTTTCATCATCTGTTGATAAAGAGTTCCAAAGACTTTCAACCCTCAGGAAAAAACAACATTCTCATCATCTAAGATGAATGATTATTTATTTATAAACCAGTGACCCCACATTCCAGACCCTCCCAAATCAACCTTGTCAAGACTCTTCAGAAACTCATTTGTTTCAATCAGGTCACCTCTTACTCTTGTAAACTTCACCTGTCTAATATTTAATCGTAAGACAACCCACCCATTCTAGCTATTAATCTAATAAATCTCTGCACTACTACCAGGGAATTTACATCTTTCCTTAAGTAAGGAGAGCAATAATGTACACAGCATTCCCCATGTCATCTCACCAATGCCTGTAAAACTGAAGTCTGACCTCCCTACTTATGTACTCAATTCCCCTCATAATAGCCAGTAATCATCTGTTAGCTTTCCTACTTCTTTTCCATACATGCAATAGTAACATCCTGGAGTTACCATGATCAGAAACTGAGCTGGCCTAATATAAATACTATGGTTAAAAGAGCAAGTCACTGTTAGGCCAAGTGGCCAACAGCCTAAGCAACTGAGCCCAACCTAAATTGCCTGAACAGTTTCGGCAATGCAAGGTCTGATGGAATGCAAAGAGGCCAAGGTGAACCACAGGTCAAAAGCGAACAGGGATCAGGCCAAGCCTACGTCCCGTTGAACAAAGGAAGAGTTCTGATGCAAAACTCATTAAGATGTACTCAGCCAGAACAACAGGGAGACACAATGTTTGTGTATTCCCCAGTATTACTCCTTGCCATCATGGAGTAATCCTATTTTGCAAAGAGCTTGCATACACTTATGGTGACCTCGTCTAACCACATTGGGTGCTATGACCCCAATGGCTGAAATCAGGAGAATATTTCAGATTGGATCAGACAGGGAGAATGAAGGGCAACTAGTTCCTCAGCGAAGATTCAGCCAGCTTCATATTAAGAAGACCCTGAGTGCCCAGTTGATGGACCTCAGTGAATTGGATCCAGCAACCCAAATCAGGTTCAAAGTGGCTAGTATGTGTTTTTCAGGCAGGCTAGTTTGGGAAAATTTAACAATTTAGTTTGTGCAAGAGTTACTTTCTTTAAATTGAGTGTTTACTTAAAAAAAAAGCTTCAAGTGCAGTCTGTCGTCTCGTACAGTAACAGCACTTGGGTGAAAATGTTTTATGAGTAATAAACTGGTTGAAGTGTTTGTGTAGGATATCTCACAGGCAACACTAGGAATTCTTAAGTGAATAACTCAACTCCTGTCTCCCCAGTGCCTGCTCACAATCTCCAAGGTACAAGTCAGGAATGGAATGGAATACACTCCACTAGGCCAACTGACTGTAGTTCTGAAAAAGCATGAGTTTAGAAGCATGAGAGGGGATCTGATTGAAGCATATTAAATTCTAATTGGTCTGGACAGACAAGGAGAATGTTTTCCCTGGTTGGGGAGTATAGAACCAGGAGACATGGTCTCAGGATATGAGGTAAGCCATTTTGGCATGAGATGAGGAAGCATTTCTTGATTCAAAGGATAGTGAACCTGTGGAATTCACAAGCCCAGAAGCCTGTGGACACCAAGTCAATGAATATATTCAAGAAAAAGAGATTGATTAAATGTAAAATTTTAAAAGCATCAGGGCACATAGGGGAAAAGATGGGAACGTGGCATTGGAGATAGAGAATCAGCCATGATGATATTGAATGGTGCAGCAGGCTTGAAGGTCTGAATGGCCTACTCCAGGTCTATGTAAAAAAAAGCTTAACATCACCCAGGATAAAGCAGCCCTTAGGCATGATGCCCACTGCTGGAACTACAGCAAGTCTCTAGAGGCTAAGTGTCAGGATGAGAATGAAGGGAAAGAGAGGGGTCTGGTGTGGGGTCATGAGGAAAGCAGGTACAGGGGGATGAAAGCCTGATGATGGGGTGAGCTCTCCCAAGCACAAAACTTGATTTGTTAGAGATCTTCACACGAGGCCCAACCAGGATTTCTTCCATCCCCAACCTCATGTCCTTGACCTCCTCCCACAAGCTGGGTGGAAAGTGTCCAATAAAATTCCAATGGGGTCAGGGATGAGCACCTAATTGGGGGAGCAGTCCACTGCCTGCAAGCATCCCAGCTGCAGCTCAAAATCTGCCCAATACATTAGTAATTTGTCCCATTTTTGAAGATGACCCATTTATCTTGAAGTTGACTGAAACCAAAGTTGATGTAGCCACCTCCTGTGCAGATATTTTCTAAACAACCCGTTCAGATGTGTTATTACACATTCCCTGGAGCAGATGGGACTTCAATCCAGGCCTTCTGGCTCAAAGGTAGGGGCACTACCACTGTGCCACAAGAAACCCCACCTCTTATGTATGATAGCAGCATCTGACTGTGTGGATCTTACTAATTCGTGCCATCCTAACAAGAGTAGGCCACTCAGCCCTTCAAGCCTGCCTTGCCATTATCGGATTCCTGCGTACCCCCACTAATGTCTCATCTCCTTGGTAATGAAAAATCTATCTCTGCCATAAATATACTTTTAAGATTCTGCGTTCACTGCCTTTTGAGGAAGGGGATTCCAAGACTCAATCCTCAGCTTCAGCCACCTTATCTATTTTAAATAGGCACTTCCCCACCCACTTAAACTATGACTAGATTCCCCCAAAACAGGAATCATCCTATCTGCAACCACCCAGTCAAATCCCCGTCAGTATCTTGTATATTTCAATTAGGTCACCTCTAACTCAAACTCCAGAGGTTACAGGCATGGGGCCCATTCAGCCTTTTTTCAAAGCAATCCGCTTATCTGGCTCATTCCGGTTCTGGCAAACCTTCCCTGAAATACTTCCAACTCATTAATATGCATCCATTCAGTCTCACTGATGTATAATCTCCTTACTCTTGTATTCAATTCCCCATCCCTGCAATAAAAATTCCATTAGCCTTCCTGATAACTCGCTGTACCTGTATACAACTTCCTGCAATTCACGCACAACAGCACTCATCTCCCTGAATCTCGGAACTCTGCTACTTCTCATCCTTTAGATACATGTGCTTTTTTAAAAAAATTCTGTCAAACTTTCCCACATTGTATTCCATTTGCCAGCTCTATGCCCAGTTGCTTAACCTATCTATCTATATCCCTTCGGAGGCTCCTTATGTCCTGTTCACGATTTGTACAAAGATAGGTAGGAAAGTAATCAGCAAATTTCGCGACCATACCTTCCACTCCTTCACCCAAATCATTTATATAAATTGTAATGTGTTCAGGCCCCAGCACTGACCCCTATGGCACAACAGCCATGGCATCCTGCCAGCCTGAAAAATAATTTATTCCTACTCTCTGCTTCTGTTAACCAGCCAATCTTCTATCTATGCCAACAGGGGCTCTTGAAATGGACTTGTAGTGTCCCTCCTGAGGCAGGAAACCTGGTTCAAGCCCCAGCCAGTCCAGAGGCATGTTATAACGTTTCTGAACAGGCTGATTAGAAAACATCTACAACAATCTTGGCCATTAAATGTTTATCCAACTCTATCTACTCATGGTGCACTGATATTTTTCCTGAACTTTGAGTCAGGAGGCCTGGGAGGTTGAACTGTCACCTGATCCAGAGGTGTAAGAACAACACTGACCTGGTTGATTATATGGAAACAAACACAGAAGTTGCTGGAAAAGCTCAATAGATCTGGCAACATCTGTGAAGAGAAATCAGTTAACATTTCAGAAAACATTAACTTTGATTTCTCTTCACAGATGCTGCCAAACCTGCTGAGCTTTTCCAGCAACTTCTGTTTCTGTTTGTGATTACTGCATCTGCAGTTCTTCTGGTTTTTATTGATTATAAAGAATCTGTGCCATACCTTATCAAATGCATTCTGGAAATCTGTACAATACAAGCACTGATTCCCCTTTATTCACAGCACAAGTTACTTCTTCAAAAAGAACTGCAATAAATTAGTTAAACATGATTTCCCTTTAACAAAACTATGTTGGCTCAGCCTGATTACCTTGAACTTATCCAACCTCCAGTTAATTCATTGATAAAAGCTTTAAAATTCTTCCTTTGACAGACGTTAAGCTAACTAGCCTATAGTTTCTTGTTTCCTACCTCCCTACTTTTTT